TCTTAACGCCTCCTGAAGCCCCTCATTCTCTCCTTCTCGGCTTGCATAATGGTCTCAAGATGGGCTGTCGCCTCCACAAGGCATCCATAGTCTTTTAATCATGGATCCAACCACTCTAAACATGAGCTCGATTCTCAGTCTCTTCTCGAACTCCAAACAACGGCGTTCCTCAGTCGCCACCAACTCAGGTGTAAACCTAGAGAGGCTAGTGAATGTGGCTTCAAACTCAGCCACAGGTGTGTTCAACTGCACTAGCTTAGAGAACTGGTCCCTTAACTTCTCTCTAACCATTGGAGGTAGAAACTTGTCCTGGAAGGCATTGACAAAAGCCTCCCAAGTCCCTCAAATGCGCCCGCGCTCATACTTCCACCACTGACCCGCATCCCCCTTTCAGCTGGAAAGATGTCAAGGTCACCCTCAACTGGTCATCCTCGATGCCAAGCATCTCGAACATTTTCACTATCTGCTCAAGCCACTTATCTGCCTTCAGTGGCTCCTTAAGATCTCCCAAAAATTCATCCGGATTCGACCGGAAAAACTCCCTCTTCAGAAAAGAAGGCCCTACCTCAGCTACTTGGGCCTGGACTTGATTCTCAACCTTGAGAATGTCCATGGATTCTTGCAATGCTTCAGCCATTTCGCGAGCTAAGGGGTTCATGGCCTATTGACATATTGGCTCAGCCATATTGGCCTAACCAGTTCCTTCCTCTTGTGCCGGAATATCATATGGTATGGGCATCTCGTGCATCCTAGGCCTACTACACCTACCATCACGACCACATCCTGACATCTAATGAAGGTAACAAAGAGATTAACACATTTACGAATGTGCTAAAACTAACTCACTTGCGTCCTAATACATTGGACAATAGTAATTTACTCCACATAAGCACATAACCACGTAAACACATATGAATTTTCCTCCTAGATAATGAACGTCCCGCGGCGTTACTAGAGTTCCAATTAGAAACAGTAGTGATCAAGTGCTCTTCTAAAAGAACTTCTAGAAACCTGTAGATCCAATCAACATCTTAGGAACTAAATCCCATACCCATATAATCACATAAGCATGTTATCATATAAGCATATATCGTCCACACTTAAGTCTCTAACAAGCGAGACAAACCCATTGTGGTACTAACCACCTCCCATGTACCCAAAGTATTCAAACTCAGTATGCTCTGATATCAAGTTGTAACGCCCCCCCTCAAAAAAAAAAAAATACAATAAATACATTTTAAAACATATATCAATAGCAGCGTAAATTGGAATATATTATTCTTTCATTACATGAAGTTAATGATACAAAAGAGTGTAGCAAAATAAATGCCCTATGGGCTTACACCTTTCCAAGTCATGGCTTGGTCACACAAAAATGAGCCTCGCTCAATACATTTTAAGCCGCGACTTTACAAAAAGAATTAATTAAAAGTAGAGAAGCTCTTGCTCCCAAAAGTTCCTCCAAGCTATTGCCTTGGTGGAGGCATGTCACCAACACTTGAAAATGTTATTCCTAAATAAGGTGAGCCACAGTCCAGTAGGAATCATCTAACACAGTATATGAAATTTAACAAAGGTATAAGTACAATATACATATACAATGCCTGAAATAAAACATTCATGCTTTTATATTGTAATAGAATTCTAATTTCATGCTCCGTTTCATTTTCCTCCAATTTATTTCAATATATGAGCCAATTTCATAATTTCTTTAGCAATCCAAATGAGACTACAACTCCATGGTTCAACAATCACATTATCAACACACAAACATTTCAAACTGCCATTTTATGGATATTTCGTCCATGGGATCGACACTAATGTATAATTTCAATTTGCCATTTTACGGATATTTCGTCTGCGGGATCGGCACCCATGTATAATTTCGGAGCTTTCATGCATGACACTCCGGCCAACTTAATTATAAAGGAATCCATCCCCTTTCTTCTCCCAAACAATCATTTATACATATGCAATGTATTTAAACACATAATCAAACAATGGAGTACATCCCCTTTCCACTCCCAAATAATCATACATATACAATGTATATAAACATAGTCATATTCAATGACAACTAACAGGAGATTAGTTTCAATTCACCTAATTCCGCATGCAATTTTTACAACAATTATAGCTATCCTCCACCGATAGCCTAGTACAGATATTTCTAAATAGATATACAATCTCGAGACAGATAATTTACTCAAAATTTCTGAAGATGTGAAGTATTACATACTCAATTCCACCATCTATTTCAACACTCGCTTAATTTCATGTTGACCATACCAATTTCAATTATTTATACAAAAATTTACGAGTCATTTTAGGGCAAAAATTCATTTTTCCAAATATCAACCCAAGCATCAAAATCAACCATTTTGACACACATAGTCCCATTCTCACATCCCATACTCATTTACTTCATATTCACCAAAACCCCCTCTTTTTATCTCATACCCACACCCTAGGTTTGCTTAAAACATCACCAACCCACACCAATGTTACATAAATGACAAATATCTAAGCTAAATAACATATGAAGGTATAGAAAATCCCAACCTCTAGTTGGATGACCAAGCAAGGGTGGAACTCCAAGTATGCTCAAATCCCACTTTGTTCGGATCAAAACAAAGATCTAGAGATGCTCTACCTTTTTCTCAAAGGCACTAGGGTGAAGAGATCAACGGATCTAGATGAAATCGAAGAGAGAAGGTGAGTTTCAGAGAGAGAAACTCAAGATTTATCTTTTTGGAAAGTTTTAGAGAAAGAGAGAAATGAAAAAGTGAACAAGAACATCATCTTCACGGACTGTTATATACGCAATCCGCTCAAGCGTGGAAAGTGATGCTCGAGCGTCAGATACAAAGTTCTGCTCGAGCGTGAAAAGTGGTGCTCAAGCGTAGGATACGCTCTTTCAAAAGTTTTGTGGATGAAGGACCTCGCTCGAGCGTGAGACTGGACGCTCGAGCGTCCAATGCATCCTCCCAGTATTTGCAGAACTGCAAAAGAATACTGAAAGTTGACAAATCCCGCTCGAGCGCAAGAATGGCCGCTCGAGCGGAAGAGCCAAAATCTGGACATCACATGTTTGGAAAAACAAGCAACTAACTTATTCCAAACACACAACTACAACCCGATAACCAAAATAAAGGAGAGGCAAGGGAAATAAGATATGAATCACTATTTAAAACTATACAATCCGAGTCAGGAACACAACAAGTGACGGGCCAAAAACCGAAATTGCTATATAGGAGGTTTGTAAAATGAGATTATTAACCACATGAGTGAGAATATAATTTCTATAACGTCAGGGAATGGGATGTAATCAAACCAAACCTTGGGGAGTGTCAATGTAATTTATCCATATATATATAAAGGGATATTTTGATCATTTTGTTTAAACTTCTCTTTTTGAGTAAAATATTTTAACACTGGACTGTTTGACTAAATAAATTTAAATTTAGAATATCTCCAATATAATATTTGTTTAATAATTAGATTTTTTTAGTGATTTTTTAATTTCTTATTAATGGATGTGTGGATGTTAAAAAAAAAAAAAAAAAAAAAAAAAACTCTTTAATTTTTTTAACTATAATCTTTCTTCCCAAACGATTCCGTACTCTTCAAAGAACCCATTAGCCTCCACTGCAGTTAGCATCTCGAATGATATTGTTATAGATTTGTTAGTTAAAGTTTTTGCTTTTTTTTTTAATTTTTTTTATTTTAAGGGGGTATTAACGGTCTGAAGCCAAGATTAATGATATATATATATATATATATGTATGTATATAATTTTTGTAGAAAAAATTTATATGGAATGATGTGCTTGCACTGGCGATGCACGCGGGCGAGAGAGAGAGAGGGGCGAGCTCACAATTTTTTTTTGTAATTCTTAAATATATATTTTTATCTAATATTCATTTAAGTGGGCTATGGCACATAGACTGAAAAAGTTACCAAAACATTGGTCAAAAAATGAAATTTGTGAGCTCAATTCATTATTGGTGTAACTCATATCATATAAGTTTTAAATTACATCATATACTTCATTTTTTGATAATTATTCCTATTACTTTTTCAAATCCACTAATTTAGGTTTCATTTGTTTCGACGTAATATTTTTTATGTAAATTAATTTTACACAAAAAAGTATTTTTGCTTTTGTTTTCGGCGTTTGGTAAAATATTTTTTTGCTTAAAAAAGAAACTTTAATTTAATATAACTTTTTAATAAGCTAAAATGTTTATTTGAAAAGATTAAATCTGTTAAAAAGGTAGTAAGAGTCAACTTTATAAAAAGAACAATGCTACATCCATCGAATTTTGACTTGCTTGAATCATCTAAATTTTGGCTTGCCAGTCATCTAGTTAATCATTCGGCAACAAGGGTGACAACTGTGATAGATAAAGTTGCACCGGTCATCTGAATAGTCGTCTAGACGGTCGACTGACATGCACAAATTTAAACGATTCAGACAAACTCAAATTCGGTGAATAAATCATTTTTGTTAAAAAAATTGACTTACAAATTTTTTAAAGATGAGTCATTTTTTAAAAAATGATACAAAAATATTTTTCTTACTTTTTATTCAACAAAACAACAAAAAAATGAGTAAAATATTTGTAACAAAAATACTTTACGTCAAAAATGAACCAACCTTAATTTCAAAAGTGTATTGTCTATTCTAGTTAGCAGCCAATTGCAATTCACCCTCCAACAATACTATTTGTTTTAGTTAAGAAGAGAGGAAGAGTAAAGAGAGAGAGAGAGAGATAGAGAGAGAGAGAGAGGACAAGGAAGTGGAGAATATATTAGTTTTAATTTTTTATATTTTTTTTAACTAATGTAAATTAGTTTTTGGAGAATCTACTAGTTTTATTTTTCTATTTTTTTCTAACTAATGTAAATTAGCTTTTTACATGTAGGTGGCTAAAGAGAGACAACATAAAGGAAACTAGTTAAAATAACTAAAGAAAATGAAAGATCTTGGCAACTCCATAACATACTTTAGAATTTTAACATTACAACAAATTAAGGTTTATCTTCTCCGTTCCTTACATGCCCTCTCATGTACCAATGAATATAATACATACAAACAAAAATCACACGTTTACAAATTATTTGTGCACCTCTAAAATCTTCAAACTATCATTCACAGTAGACGAAAGAGTTAGGAAAAATGGCAGACCTAAATTGACATGAATTAGTATAGTAAATAAAAATATAAATCTTTTTAATTTGACTAACGATATGACCTTCAATAAAATCAACTGGAAAAAAAAATTTATGTAACCGATCCCATTTGATGCGACTTAAGGTTTGATTTAGTTTGGTTTGGTTTGATTTGGTTAACAACTCTATGAGCACAACCGGGCACTTCCTCTACCTCCCAGACATTAGATTCACTAGAGTTTGGTTTTCATAGAATGCCCCAATATCCCAATCTTCTGTCGTGGACGAAAGAGTCATTAGCGCCACCACAATAGACCTCATGCTGGGCCGGAGTTGAGGATTCTCTTGCGTGCAAGCTTTAGCAAGCTGAGCCATCTACAAGCAAATTGGCCACCAAAAATTCATCAACAAAACCAATTAATTATGGCTTTCAAGGGAGGGAAAAAAAAAAAATTCACCTTGCGAACTGAATCAAGGGGGTAGTTATCTCCAAGCCTAGGGTCAACTAGCTTGGGAAGGTCAACTCCCGGATCAGGCTGAGTAAGAACTTCATCAAACTATAAAGTATCACAGTCACAACGATAATTAGTTACGAGAACACATTGGATATCATGAATGAATGCTTAATCATGTCTGACATGTCATCACACCTATTAATTCTTAAATAATTGGCAAAATAGGGCACAGACTTACCAAACCAACGAGGCCCCTTGATTCAGGCATAGATTCACTTGCCTTGACTATGGCTTCCTTGGCTGAAATAAGTTCATAGAGGACGACTCCAAAAGCATATACATCTATTTTAGGAGAAACATCACCATATTGAGCATATCTGCAAACAAGCATGGTAGAAAATTGATCCATGTTTTTGACAGAAGAATAAACACAACCAAAACCTATTTCTTTCAATACAAGAAGCATAGAATGAGCGAGAGAACCCTAAGTTACTCTCTTCTCTTCTGCAATGAACAAACCTCATTAAATACAGAAAGCAAGTCATCTAAACTGAAAGGAAAAAATAGTGGTCATGTGAATCCAAGATCAGTGGCAGCACAGGCAAGAAGTGATTTAATTCAAGCCGAATGAACTTATAAGACAGGACAAGAACCGAAATAACAAAGGTTGAGGCAGGAAGGTGAGGTATGGCTTTGGATAAAGCTGAAAGGGAAAAAAAATTAGAGTCTAGATTGAAGAAAAGTGTTCCCTTAGATATATCAGAATTGTGAAAAGAATTTGTAAAGCAGACCCCATATAGTTGGAATAGAAGGCATTACTATTACTGACTTGAGATTAATACACAAGTATGAGCCATGTATTTGTGCCCAGACCTTTAAAAGATTCACATCAAGGGAATGTCGCATCTGCTGCTCCATGGATTATAAGATGATTGGTTTTGATGCACCAATCATCCGTAATTTTTAGCCAAAAAGTTTCTGAACCAGGCTTTCATGAGAGCATTTTTGACATAAACATTCCAAAAGCTATTTATGGCTTCTTTGTCAAGTTTCATTGGGAGGTTCCAGACAATGATTTCCAAATATGTGGTTAAAGTCAGATAGTACCCCCCAATCATAAATTTCAGGCTCTATAAGAAAAGGTTGACCATGAATCTATGGATTGGGTGAGAGTTGGAATGACAACACCCAATTCCATGATTAATTGTTGTTATTGATTTTCTTTTATATATAAGTAAATAAAGAAGTTATCTTACTCTGGTGGCATGTATCCAAATGTACCCACAAGACGTGTGGGCAGCGAAGTACTCCCTACTTCAGTCAGCTTTGTTAAACCAAAATCTGCAACCTGGAAAAGACATATTTGCCACAATTATGATGACCATCACATGGTCGACAACGACTATAGGACTGCAAAGAAAAGAGCATCAACACAACCTTGCCGCGATAGTTTTTGTCTATCAGTATATTTGCTGATTTGATATCACGATGGATATAGACAGGAACAGTATGCTCATGAATATATTCAAGTCCTCTCGCTGAATCAAGGGCAATTTGCACCCTTGTAGGCCATGGCAGGGGGTCCCTCCCTGCAAACATAATTTTTTTTTTGATAAATAAACAAACTTCATTAAGGCAACATCAAGATGATGCAAATAATACAAAAATGCCCCAGCAATAAGCTAGCAAAAGAAAGCAAAACCAAGAAACAAAACCAATCAACTAACTAAACCTGCAAACATAAATTTAACCACCAGCATTGTTTAAAAGCACTACTGCTAGATAAAGTCTTGACATGCACGTCTTATCTCACCTCCACGTAAATGTTCACTTAAATTGCCATTCTCGATAAATTCATAGACTAGAAAAAGAGAGCCCTCTACGCAATACCCAATCAAACGCACCTGCATTAGATGCCAATGTAAGTTACAATGTCTATATAAATGCATATATGTATATATACTTAACATCGTCCTTTATATTTCAAAGATCAATCAGTTAAAAGATAAGAAAAAGTCGCTTAATGATATCACAATCAAAATTAGAAGACAATTGAACCCTTAAGTTTCCATCAACAACAAAATTGTACTGTAACAACCAACCTACTGAAATTCCATATGATAATACACTTTAAATATTCATCTCCTACCTTCCTGTGAATACCTCAACCACAGAGACTTTTAAACAATCAAAAAAAAATTCATGATAAATTAAATGGCGCAATGTAAATATATTGGTCGTCAAATTACCATGAAATGATAAATTCTGGAGGATTAAAAATAAAAAGTATTCCTCAAAATGGAAGTAAATATCAATCAATTCCAATTACTCCAGGTTCTAAATGTCAGTGAAGTTCATATCAAATCAACAGAAGTGCATGTGCATATATTTACTAACAAGATAACCACATCTCAGATTTAAGCATGATGGTATGTCTGTAAAAATGTGGTACACGCACAAAATATCAAATCATGCAATGACAATAGAGAACAGAAAAAAAAAAAAAAAAACCAACCTCTTCTTTTTTGATGTAAGCCTTTGATACTCCAGCCTATATCCATAGATGAATGTACATTACTTCCGGTCATATAAATTGAATAACAGTCACATTGGTTTTTGGCTAACACACAATCACACCTTCCTCACAGAGTAAGGGCTTTCAGGATAACGGATGTGAAAACCACAAACCAGATAAAATTCTATTGATACGTGCCTACATAAAGAAAAAAAAGAAGACAAACACCACTACGGAAAACACAGGTTCATGGAGAAAGATAAGAGTACTACCAGGTTCAGATGATGAACATGTGTTAAAACCTTCAATTCAGCAAGGAATTCCTTCGAAGCTTGCATATCCATCTTCTTGATTGCAGCTTTCTGCACCCAAGGCGGAATTGGGAAAGATAATACAGATACTTAGCATCAGAAATCAACACAACACTGTTAAGCACTAACTTATTCTTGCCAATCTATGTGCAAATAGTATTCACAAAAACTACTTGCATTACATGATCAGAGTGCATGATGCATATGTAAAAGTGAAGAGATATTACAACAGGCAATCATGAGATTCATACTTTAGACCATAAGAGATGTTAAAGAATATGAACAATTCAAGCTACATGTTACAAGAAAAGATCAAGTGCTAACAGAACTGCTTGTAAATTTTTTTTGGTCACATTCACACATTAGATTGTAAGGATGTAAAGTAAACAAGCTGAATAGTTTTTGATCCTTTTGGCCCAAAATGTGCTCCAAAATTTAAGAGAGCTTGGCTTATTCACTTACGAAATATCTAAAGTGAGTTTCTACTCGAGCCAATTTCAGAATGAGCTCTAGTAGCTTGACTCCTTATATAGTCTTACTATCTTAGAATGTTCATTAGCATTTCAGCTGAGCTCAATAATTTTGAAATGATTCCAAGTATAACTCAGTTTGGCTCATCCACCTCATGAACCACCTCAAGTTGAGCCTCTACCAAGCCAATCTCAACTAGTTTGGTTTTAGCTTAAACCTACTGCCTTACTTGCCCAAAATGTCCTTCAAAATTTATGAGAGTTTGTCTTATTCACTCATGAAATATCTAAAGTAAGGCTCTACTCAAGACACTTTCGGAATGAGCTCAACTAGCTTGACCCTTATATAGTGTTAGAATGTTTGTTAGCATACCGATTCTGAGTTTCATCTGAGCTCAATAATTTCGAAAGCTTCAAAGTATAACTCAGTTGGGCTTATCCACATCATGAGCCATCTCAAATGAGCCTCTGCCAAGAACAGGCCTGACATCTTCAACAAACGGAACTATAGACCAGTGACAAAAGTTTTGCCATACATAGCTTTAATGACAAGTTGAGCATCACTCTCCAAAGTGACTTCAGATCAGGCCTTCTTCGGCGGCAAAGACTATAAACTTTGCTCTCTTTTTTTATTTTTATGTTCTTTCTTGTTTTTCAATGACGAGAAACCCCCAAGGCAGGGTCACATTGGATGCACCCTTGTAGGAAAAACTCTCCGGATACCTGCAACCACCCGCAAGCCACAGGTAGCAGGTAAGAAAAGGTGTTACCAGTGGTAGTCGAACTCAAGACCTCCAGATTTATGGTTAGTTCCAAGCTTCCCTTAAACCATTGGGCAACCTTGGAGCGGTGTCACGGGTTGCCTTGCAAGGCCAACTCCGTGACGTTTTGCTTGTGGTGGTGTGACCATTTGAGTGCTCAAGAGTGGCCTTTGGAAGGGCCTCAACGTGGCCTAACATTGCCCCCAAGCAGCCCAAGGCAAGTAGGCCACCAGCAGCCAGCAAACAGCAAGGCCGCAGCCCATGCCAGTAGCCAGCACCAGCAGCGGCAGCTGACAGCCAGCACCACCAGCACACAGCAGCGGCAGCCAGCAGCAGCAGCAGCCAGCAAACCAGATTTTCGGCGCGTTGTTTGGGCATCCAAATGAAGGAGTTTCAGGCTGAAATTTTTATTGTAAAGAGGTCTTGGGGGAAGTGTTTTTCCGACCAAGTTTCGTAATTTTTCTCAATTTGTGGAATTTATGAAAAACTATTATGACTCCTCAGACAAAGGCATGCTTCCTCTCAGAAGGCTAATTGCTTAACAAGCATCTATAAAGGGGCAAAGTGTGCCACCTAGTTGTCTCCCCGCCCAAACTGGGCTTCAAGTGAGCAACCTTGGGGCAACTTAAGGGTAGGCTTTAGGCATCCAGAGGGGTGTCCAGAGTCTCCACGTGGGTTTGGGAGCCCCGTGGATGGTGCAATAATGTAAGCACTGCGCATGCTTCCCGAGGGAGAGGTTTAACACGTTGTTCCTTATGCCACGTGTTATGGCATCTTGGAGACTCGTTTTAGACCGAATGGGCTATCGAGGGACCACCAAAGGCCTCGTGTGCCAACTCAAGTGTTTGGTTTGGATTCATCCTTGCACGAGGGGATCCCGTGGCTTAAGTTAAGCGGTTGGAAGGCAACACTGCATATGTGGGCTATCGAATGAAAGCATCAAGCTATGGATTGACTAAATCCATTGAGGGATGACATTATGCTACAAACGAGCAACGGATTGAGACGTTGCCTTACTCATGCTACACATTGGTGCAACACTAAGGCACGCAATGGCCTTAGGCGGAATCTAACACACGTGTTGGTACGAGGACTACACCGTGAGCAAGAGATTGACCCTCGGTGGCTTGGGCTTGGCATGACCGTTTGGCCATCCGATATGCATCTATTAAGGCATGCTTGACCTTGTGACACTTCGAGACGCTATCAAAGACCCACCATGCAATGCTGGCTTGTCGGCTAAGTCGAGGACCTTTGCTAGCACATTGTTGTGTGGCTAAGCACCTTGATGACATGAACCTAAGTTGGGTGAACACCTTGCTTGAGGTAAGCTTGGCGTTATGAAGCGACTTATGTCGTGCTTGGTGCACTTGAGGCTTTAGGCCTACTTGTGGCATTCGGGTGAAGACGAAGCTTCCTTGTGGAGTTGTTCTGTTTGACAAAGCATTGGGGCCCTAATGTTCAAAACGGGTGAGATCATCAACACTCGATTTATCAATGAGAGCTATGGCGGGCTTAAACTTGGTGGAGTTTGAGCGGCACATGGGCGAAAAATTGATCCGCTGCACCTGTAAAGGAGTCGGCCTGTGACAGTTGGTATCAGAGCTAGATCGCCCATTTGGGGTGAGCTCGATCTAGAGCGGACATGCAGCTATCTTGTGATATCATTTCTCCGTGGACCCTGATGCCGTTGTTTGAAGGAGTTATGCATGGAACTCATCCTGGGGGGTGTGTATGACATCCTAGACTCTAAACAAGACCGCCATTGGTTTTTTGGTCATGTTTGAACCGTGGTAGCTGATTGATGATGTCTTGGGGTATCCGCGCTTATTGTGTTATTCTTCAGCGATGCCTTGAATGCTACGACCGTTTTTGAGGGTGCGAATTAAGCAACATTGTGGCAGTTAGTGTTGCCTTGCTAACTTGGTGTTTCCCTTTCACTTTGTGGACTTGGAGAGCATTTCTACACTGTGGGCACACTGTGGCGCGAGTATGCTACATTTGTGGACGGGTTGCTTCCTAACCAGCAGGATTAGCATGATTGTGTTACTTTGTTGGCTATATAGGGAATTCTACTATAGTTTGGACTTGTGGAATGCTTGTATCAAATTGTGGGCATGTGATCTTTATCTATTGAGCCTTAGAGACGGATTTTCGTTGGCAGCCGTGCACGTGTTATGGCATTATCACTGGTTCGCTTCAGGAGGCCTATGCTTCGACTGTTCGTGGTGGCATTTGCAACTTGTGCTTGTCAGTAGTTTTGCATCTTCAGACGCATGGTTGTTGACTTCTTAGAGGGTCTGTTCGAAAAATTTTCAAGACAGAATTTGAGAGCGGGGTGATGGATGAAATCACCGTTGTAGTGAGTGTATATGCTTGTTAGAGAGCGGGGTGATGGATGAAATCACCGTTGTTAGAGGACAACCATGTAGCAGGATTGTGAAGTCAAGACATGATTTGGTGCCAGGATCAGCGCACCGTTTTGAGCATCATTGTTAAGATGGCTAACTTTGTGGGTGGAAGGAGCGGTGAGCCTTTGAAAGGCGAAATCTTTGAGCTTAATGAGATAGCTGACTCGAGTGCAGGCAGTGGCCGAGGTACTGCGCAGCATGAGTTGAATTCTAGCTAGAGGACCTAAATTAAGCCAGAAGGCATGAGTACGATTTAAATAGGGGGCTTGCCTGAGGGCACGAGCATATGAGATTAAGCCAGTGGGCTTCAATTCAGCCTGAGGGCTACATTTCTAAAAGGAGCATTAAAGTTTTGAGTTATAAAAGCATATTTAGCCAGTGGGCTACACTTTGTTAAAAAGGACGAGTTGAGCAAAGCCGATAGGCTTCATTTTAGCCTGAGGGCTATACTTCTACAAGAGCATTGAAGTTTTGAGTTATAAGAGCCTATTCAGCCAGTGGGCTACACTTAGTTAAAAAGGACGAGTTGAGCAAAGCCGATGGGCTTCATTTCAGCCTGAGGGCTATACTTCTACAAGAGCATTGAAGTTTTGAGTTATAAGAGCCTATTCAGCCAGAGGGCTACCCATTGCCAGATGGCACGAGTTATAAGAGCCTATTCAGCCAGAGGGCTTCATAATTGCCAGAGGGCTTCATAATTGCCTGAGGGCATGGAAAAATTTGAGTTTGCAAAGAATGCATTAGATAGAGGGCTATAATTTGCCAGAGGTCTTCAGCTAAAGTGCTTTAAAGTTTGAGTTTGCTAGAGAGCAACAGCCAAGAGGGCTTTAGAGATTGAGCTTGCCAGAAGGCATCAACCAGAAGGCTTCAGAGGCATGAGCTTGCTAATGAGCAATAGCCAGAGGGCTTTTATTTCGCCAGAGGGCATAGTACAAAAATACTTGAGTTTAATGAAGATATCAGCCAGAGGGCTTTGTGCTTGCCAAAGGGCATTGTTTAATCATTTTGAGGGCCAACGGTTGATTTGCATTCAGTCGACAAGGGTGTTAACAACTTGAGTGGATGAAGAAGTCGCGATGCGATGACCCACTGCGAGTTAGCTCGAAGAAGCATTGGGAGCATGAGGGACAACTAGAGGAACATTGCCTAGAGGAGTCAGCTCAGAGGAGCTTGAGATTACTCGAAAGAGCATTGGCAGAGAGGCCATTTGAGATGAGGGCATGGCATTTTAGAGCATTGGCAAAGGGCAAAGTTTAGAGACGCTCAGAGGAGCTTTGGTAGAGGCCATTTTCAGAGAGGGCATTTGGGACAAGTTGCCAACAGAGAGTGCAACAAGTGGGGTGCATTTCAGCTGGATTCGAGTAGAGAACAATGAGGGGAGCTTGGCTAAAAGAGTTTGGATGTTGAAGGTAGGCCATCAACACAGAGGTGTTGGACTCGTCAGAGGAGCCGGTACACGCACTGCAGCATCAGCTTTGTGCTACATCAACGAGGATGTTGATGGTTGGAGTGGAGGAGGGTGTCACGGGTTGCCTTGCAAGGCCAACTCCGTGACGTTTTGCTTGTGGTGGTGTGACCATATGAGTGCTCAAGAGTGGCCTTTGGAAGGGCCTCAACGTGGCCTAACATTGGCCCCAAGCAACCCAAGGCATGTAGGCCACCAGCAGCCAGCAAACAGCAAAGCCACAGCCCATGCCAGCAGCCAGCACCAGCTGCCAGCAACAACAACCAGCAGCAGCAGCGGCAGCCAGCAGCAGCAGCAGCCCGTGCCAGCAACCAGTAGCAGCAGCAGCAGCCAGCCAACAGCAGGTAGCAGCAGCATCACCAGCCCAGCAGACCAGCCAGCAAAGCAGATTCTTGGCGCGTTGTTTGCGCATCCAAATGAAGGAGTTTCGGGCTGAAATTTTTATTGTAAAGAGGTCTTGGGGGGAAGTGTTCTCCCGACCAAGTTTTGTGATTTTTCTCAATTTGTGGAATTTATGAAAAACCATTATGACTTCTCAGACAAAGACATGTTTCCTTCTGCCAAAGGGCTAATTGCTTAACAAGCATCTATAAGGGGGCAAGGTGTGTTACCTACCTGCCTCCCCGCCCAAACTGGGCTTCAAGTGAGCAACCTTGGAGCAACTCAAGGGCGAGCTTTAGGCATCCAGAGGGGTGTCTAGAGTCTCCACATGGGTTTGGAAGCCCCGTGAACGGTGCAATAATGTAAGCACTGCGCGTGCTTCCTGAGGAAGAGGTTTAACACGTTGTCTCCCTTATGCCACGCGTTATGGCATCTTGGAGACTCGTTTTAGACCACATGGGCTATCGAGGCACTACCAAAGGCCTCGTGTGCCAACTCAAATGCTTGGTTTGGGTTCAACCTTGCATGAGGGGATCCCGTGGCTTAAGTTAAGTGGTTGGAAGGCAACACTGCATATGTGGGCTATCGAATGAAAACATCAAACTATGGATTGACTAAATCCATTGAGGGATGACATTATGCTACTCATGCTACAAGCTGCCTTACTCATGCTACACGTTGGTGCAACGCTAAAATGCGCAATGGCCTTAGGCAGAATCTAACACACGTGTTGGCACGAGGACTACGCCGTGGGCAAGAGATTGACCCTCGATATGCATCTATTAAGGCATGCTTGACCCTGTGACACTTCGAGACGCTATCAACGACCCAACATGCATTGTTGTGTGGCTAGGCACCTTGATGACATGAACCTAAGTTGGGCAAGCACTTTGCTTGAGGTTAGCTTGGCGCTATAAAGCGACTTATGCCGTGCTTGGTGCACTTGAGGCATCATGCCTACTTGTGGCATCCGGGTGAAGACGGAGCTTTCTTATGGAGTTGTTATGCTTGACAAAGCATTGGGCCCTAATGTTCAAAACGAATAAGATCATCAACACTCGATTTGTCAACGAGTTGTGGCGGGCTTAAACTTGATGGAGTTTGAGCGCCACACGGGAGAAAAATTGATCTGCTGCGCCTCTAAAGGAGTCGGCCTGTGACACGCTGGCATGTTAACTTCTACAAGTTTGTATGACATATTATCTTCCCAAATTAGACGGGGTCACCAAAGTTATCCACTTTTCAATTCAACTTTTACACTTTCATACATGGAATAATGCAAAAATGAGAATAGCAGCAGTTTGTATAAGCATGCACATGCCTTAATCACGAGTAAGAATCCAGTCAATAAACAAAGCAGCTCATATTAACCTCACAGCAATGGCATGCAGATTTTCATTTGATATCAATTGTTTTTTTTTTTTTTTTTACAAACCTCGCCTCGCAGCTCAGCATAATAAACAGCTCCAAAGCCACCTTCACCAATCTTATAAGCAATACTGAAGTCATTAGTTGCATTTGCAAGCTCTTCATAAGAGAACTCCACAGATTTGTCCACAGTTAAACCTGTATGGAGGCCTGGAGAAGAACCAATGCCAGTGGAATCTTTACCTTTCTCCAAAGCACTTCCAGGATCTAAACTCACAAGTAAGGGGAAAATACATCAGTTTCATAGATATCCGATTAGTCTCATTCTTTGCAGCATGCAAAACAAAGTATAGAAATTCATCATAAAATGAAGAAACACATGGAAAAATATAAGAAATATAATTCACAAGATACAACTGCAAATTCCTCACAATTAAATGTCTTCATGACCCTAAAATGTCTTAGCATCTAGATTAACAGGTTAAATAAGTATACCAAGTAAAATCTGGTACATTATCTCATAGAAAATAGAATGCACAAACATCAGTAATGACTCTCAGTATGTGAAATTTTCAGATACTCCTTCAATATCAGGGCAACCACATTCCACCAAATAAAAAATCATCAGAATTTTTTATGAATTCAAAAAAGTAAATTACTCTCAGTTTTTCCATGTATTTGTGTTAAAAGAAAACTCCTCAAGTAACTACGAGTGGTTAGCTTTCTAGAGAAAAACATTGTGATCAGAGTGTGCATAAGGTTTCCAGTTTGTCAGATTAAATCTCAGTCTTCAACCAAGCGGTAAAATGAGTTAAAAAGGCAATTTCTAGTCTTGATGTATCCATGACACACCCTTTTAAACATAAATGTTGAAACAAATACACAAAAAGGGAAATGAAAAGGAAATAGGGTTACCCCTTGAAACTTGAAGAGATTGATCATCAGATCTTGACGAAAGCAATTTGTCCTTCACTTTCGTCTTCCTGTAAAACCCAACATACACGCCAACTGCCAGTACTAGTGCCCCCGCTACTCCTGCTATAGATATTCCAGCTATGACTCCAACTGATAGTCCTGCTTAAATGAAAGACAAAACATAAGCTTAAAGTAGTAGCAAAGGACCAATTATCATCTCATGTTTGTGCCTGTGTAGGGAAATTAAGACATTCAACATTGAACCAATTGCAAAGAAGGCCAGACCACTTGTACTGCAAAAGGGACAAAAAATAAACTGGTATTAATAACAATTTACAAAAGGTGGAAAAATGGAACAAATGACATTGATGACATCTCAGTTCATAAGCACATCAAAGATAACAAAAAGTTACCTGGAAGAATTCAGGGGCAGATAGGTCCCATTTTTATCTGCAAGGAATTAGGAGATCTATAGTAAGATAACTAGACTTTTGATGATTTATAGAAACTCAAAGATATGGTGATGTATTTGTTCTTATGGTGCATCTGAATAAAACAAAAAATTAAATGACTAATAAAATTCACCCAAAAGATTATAAGAATAGTAAATATTGTCATTTTAGAAGCTATAATATGATGACTACTTCTGAGGAAATGTTAATTTGTATTTGTTTTTTGGTACATGCAAGAACATGAATGGCGGAAAACATTCATGTCAACCCATATTGTTTGGTACACAAGGCTGATTTTGGTCTGGTACAATTAAGAAAAAAATAATTATATCTATCTTATAACGACCTTGTTTCATATTTTTCTTGAGAGAAAACATTGTCATGTCGAAATGCCCTACAAAACAAAATAGATCTGTTTGAAATCTATTAGACACCATCACAAAAAATATTAGCAGCACTATGAAACATCATTTCTTCTTTCCTTTTCCCAACCCTCTTTATGCTCTCTTGGTAAGGAGGAAGGCATGACTTTTGACACCTTTGTGTCGCATGGCCGTGATCCATTTGGGGTAAATATAATAAAAAGCCAATATGTAGTTAGAAGAGTTCTTTTGTTGCAATTTCATATAGTTGGCTATCTAAGGATTACTCCCAGCCTAGACTAATTGTTGGAGTTAGCTGATAATTTAGTTTTGTAACGGAAATGTATTGTTTTTGTAGGGCCATTTGGGACTTGAGTTTAGTTTTTGTCCAATCCATGTGGTTCTTCCTATGACATATGGACACTTGTAGCAGCATGGGAGTCGTATTTGTATTGTACCTGTATCAAATACCGATACTCTTTAGATACTTGTAAATATTTTTATCAAATCATGAATCGAATTGTAAATCGTTTGGGTTAAATCGTGAAACATATATTAATAGAAACATAGACATAGTGTTCAAAATGAAATAGATATTAATATTACTAACTGGTATATATACATCAATAGAGCTCATTGGTCACTTTTTTATGTATTGATGCAGAGGCAAAAACATCGTTCTATTATTTTATGCATTATGCCAAGAAAAAAAAGAAAGTTGAATCATACTGTGATAACCCTGCTCTATGTTATGTTAATTGATCTTAATTATGCTTATAATTATGAGCTTGATATGGTTTTGAATGCTAATTATATGATTATATGTGTTTCTCAATTTATATATGTTCACCGTAGGAAAATCTGTTTGATTTTCTACTATAAAAATTCAATTGAAGGCCGTAGAGGCGACAAGAATTGAAATTGACTGTATTTTTGTGATTAGCATGATTTTTAGCTATGAAGCATGGACACTCCAAAATTAGTGCCGTGGCGGTGTCCGACACGGGGACACGCCGGGGACACGTATGGGACACGCCAGATGACATGTCCCTTTAATTTAATGATTTTTTTGCAGGGGACACGGCAAGGACACGGCGGGGACACGCGTGTCCATATGGGGACACGGCATGGGACACGGCCGGGACACGGCAGGGCTATTTTTATTTTTATTTTTTTAATTTAATTTTTTTTTATTTTTTTAATCTTTTGCCTCTCTTATTTAGTGCTTTTGTGAAAAATATTGCTGGATGTTGAATGTTTTCCCCTTTTCGTCTTAGTTCTTGTTATCGTTTATTATGACTTTTTTGTGAATTTTTTGTGAATGGATGATCTATTAATTTGTTTAAATGTAATGGTTATGCTTATTCAATTAATGTTACTATGTTAGTGTTTGTTAATTTTAATTTAGGATGAATGTAATATGAATCTACATAACACATAAAATATATAAAATAAATAAAATAAAATTCGCCGTGTCCCCCGCCGTGTCCGTGTCCCCATTTTTTGAAAATTGCCGTGTACCGTGTCCGTGTCCGTGTCCGTATCCGTGTCTGTGTCCGTGCTTCATAGCACATAACTCCATTGCTTCAAAATTAAGTGTGTTCCTTACTCTCCACAAGAACCACATGATACACAAAGGTGCCACCATCCATGTTTTCTTCTTCCTCTTCATCCTACATCCACCTTCCCAACACTCCAATGGCCCCGTTTGGTAGAGCTGTGGGAAAGTGATTATAACTTATAGCCTAACAGCTTATACCTTATAGCTGTGAACATAAGCTGATTTTTTACTTATAAATTAATCTTCTCCTCTCCCACTCAAAGAATAAGTTGATTTTTGACTTACAAAAAGCTATAAGCTGTATTGTTAAGCTGAACCAAACACATCAAAATAGCTTAAATTAAGCTAAAAGCTGAAATAAGCTGGAAATAAGCCCTATCAAACAGGGCCAATAACTTACAAAAGAAAGCTAACAACATCACGAAATGAATATCAAGAACAGCCATAAGACGACTCCTTAACTCCTTGGCAAGATTGCAATAAATCAATAAATGATCTATTGTCTCCTTTTCTCTACAATACATGAAGAAAAAGATGAGGGTTGGATAGAGTATAACCTGTAAAGTAGTCATCCAAACAAACAACACCACCTTAGTTTCTACAACCTCACATGTTGTACAATATTTGACCAACTCTTCCTAATGTCTATCCACAAATCCACCTCATACGATAGTCAAACTTCCCAATGTCCACCCCCTCTAATTCACTCCAAACTTATAATCACTCACTCTTCTCCATAATGGGTCTTTCTCTTCGACATATCTCCGCAACCATTTATCCAAAAAAGCTTTATTGAATTGGAATCAATTTCATGAACAAAGCATGAATCTATCCCGTACAGCCCCTGGTAATCTTAAATTCCAACTCAATCTAGAAAATGAAGAAAAAGATGGGTTGTAATAATTTTTCTACTATTCGCCTACATCATGTCATACCCTAATAAATTTCTCTTTAACATTGACTCCTTTTTCTCTTACACTATTCTCAAAATTTTTATTGAGTTAATAAACTATAAAAGCCTTCAATGATTTGGGGACTGCAAGGTTCAGAACTACGAGGGAAAATTCCATAACAGCTTTCTTAGTAGAGCAATGTTCATTACCACAATGTTTCCAATGGCAAGGCCCCCTTTCTCTTTGGGGAGAGAAAAGTGCCTCCCACTTTGCCAAATGGTCTTTTTTTCACTCACTCCGTCCTTCCGAAAGAAAGTCCCTTGTCATTTCTCAATTTTATTTGCATCCACAACTGGAATC